ATTTAGTGTTCTTAGTAGACATAGTGATTAATTTTGATTGAGAACGTACAGTATTTGAACTTGGTCACATTGACTGAATGTCAAATAACCAGCCTAGGGCAGAAATATCTTGTGAACACATTATTTCGAATTAGGCATGAATGTTAAGAATTTTGTTTTCATACTTTATTGGCTTCAATGTTTATTTAAACATGAAAGCAGTGTTTTCTTGCTAGCAAGAAATTAAGCATTGATGACAGAACTTCACAATCTGTGTTCCTTTTATTTAAAAAAAAAACCATCACATAGAGGACAGTGGCAGATCCAGGGATTCAAAATAGAGGGGGCCCAGGGAGGGACTGTCAGAGATGGGGAGACTAGACCACCTCAGCCCCACCATGGTTGTAGCTGAGGTAAAATTATTCAGATCATGACCCCTCTATGGCTGGAAATGGCACTCTCAGACCTAAATTTGACTATAATTTTCTCTTTTTCTCCATTTTTTAAAATAATTTTTTGAAAAATTTAGATAGGGCCCGAGCCGGCTCCCCCCTCCCCCCAACTTGAATCAACCACTGGAGTATTGTGTTTTCAGTAGTCTTAGCCCATGTGTAAGAAATTGATAATTTTGACAGCTAACAACATTCCTTACAGAGGGTACTGTACATGTGCTACGTGATTGTCCTGGACCTATTTTTGTACAATGCACTATATTATTATTAGTAATATTAATAACTTATGATACATTGAATTAATTTTATGCAGAAAACCACATAATAATGTGTCAGACAATACGAACTTGATAGAATAAGCTTTAAAAAAAGTATTAATATCAATTTCCAACAATGTGTTGTCATATTATTATATTTTATGTATATTTGTTGGTTGTTTTTAAATGAAATCTACAGTAGTTTTTTTCATTTAATTTTTCAAAATCAAGTCATGAATTAGTTGTTAGATGATTTAAAATCAATGTTCATTAAATCATGGATGAAACTAGAGTCTGACTAATGGCAAGGGAAAAGTGTGACAGCTGACTATGAACTTGAAAATTAATAGGCTCAAGGTCCAAGCAGGATGAATACAAAGCTATTGATGGCTTAAGTTCATGAATCATCTCCCTATAAAATTTGTACGCTTGACTTTCTAGCTTTTTTGTTTTATAATAATATGCTTTTTTCTGCCATTTGTTATACTTTTGATAAGTTGAGTGAATCGATAAGCTAATAATGTTCCTAAAAGAAAAAATAACATATAATAGGATAATTTAATAGATACTGCTATATTCTACAATACCAAAAAGTTCTGACAAAAATGTTAAGAAATGATTATATTTGAATATTTATTAGGATGATAATGATATAATATTCAGAAATGACAACACATAAATTTTCCATTATTATACATAAATATTCATGATGATTGATAATGGTTATGATGATTATAACACAAGTTATTAATAACAATGGTTGGTAATAACATGGTAAATTTAAAAGTTTTGTAAACAAAATTTAGTTACATCTCTATATTATTTTCTTTAAATATTGAGTTCTCAAAATAGTTCCAGATGAAAAATAATTATAGATATTATGAAATTTTGACACACGACTAAGTCTCAAATGACATTTTTTATCGTGACTAATATTTTCAAAGTAAATATTGTCTGGCAACTCTATTCAAAGAAAATTGCCTTAACACAGTGAAATAAAAATGTTTTTCTTTTTCTTTACCTTTGAATTTGCCATTTGAAGCAGATGTGTATTTAAAACTATTGAAAGACCGTGAAAAATTTCAAGTCCGGTTTGTGGTTCATTGTGCTGTGTCCACATGCAAAGACAATTGATAAGTCTTAGTTTGTTTTTTTGCAATATTCATATTGTCAAATATTCCCAAAGAGTACCAGATATCCTGTGTATGATGAAATCTAAACTAACCAAAACATCTTCCTGTTTTAATGTTAAATTTAAAGCTAATAAAGATTATTTCATTGTCTCATTCAATAACAATCCACCAAGAAAATTTCTTGTTCCAGTTTTCGTCTTTGTTATTCTGTCGATTTTTTATTAACTATTCTCATTCATCCTAATGACTTACAAATGCTAGGGAAAAATAATGAAATAATCTGATGCTTTTTTGAAAAGTTATTAATGTTTACGTATCTAAAAAAAGTAAGAAATTAGTCAAATAAAAACAAAGCTCAATTCCAATCATTAATGAATCTCTTTGAAATGCTTTATTTAATATCTCCAACAATCATAATAATAACATATTATAAACTTTTTACCGTTTTAAAAAATATATCACTCGCCTTATCAAATTCACACAAATCGACACAATCAACATATTTTGACAGTCAATATTATACCTTAAAAAGTTTGGATGGATCTGGGGAGTTATCTCGTAGGTTTTCATCATTTAGTAATTAAAGGATGAAAAGTACACACTCCTCCTTCCAAAATATCTACCTGTATAATATCAGGGGCACCAATCCACTATTATACCCATAATGACTTAGAGCCCAATCACACTTGAGAGTTACGTCGGCCCAGGGCCGCCTCAGGGCCGGCCCAGGGTTGGCAATTTTTAAGTGTGAACAATCAATAAATGTTAAGCTGGCCCTGAGCCGACCTAAAGTTAATCCGACTTTTGAGTTGGCTCAGGTCCCTCAATGCGGGTCCAGGGCCGACCCAACTTTATATCTGAACGTAAGCCTAACCTCAGCCGGCCCAAGTTCGCTCTGATTGCTCGATTTTGCCATAATCATGAAGCAGAATGCTATCCGCTTAAAAAATCGAAAAAGTACAAGGACAATTTTTGAAATTATGTTCATGTTTCGCGCGAATTCCATGTGTTTATGCTAGGTTGTGATTTACCGTTCCGCCATCAAAATGCGATCGCCTCAACTTCCTGTCCTGCAAATCATTGACCGGCGCAAAAGAAGAAGTGTGAATGTCCGTAAGGCGGCCCTGGGCCGACTTAAAACAACTTAAAACAATAACTGTGAACGGAAATGAAGTTGAGTCGGCCTAATAAGTGTGATTGGGCTCTTACTTAACCTTTTCATTTTTTTACCTTTGTTCCTCACCTTTAGTTACATCATTAGCTGTTCGTCTTTTTGGGGTATGGACCTTCCTTGCTGCTGTTCTTCGTATAACATGTGCCTTGTACATACATAACAATCAGTAAGTATGTTTAACTTAGTTGATAGACAACTTAGATTTGTAAATATTTGTTAGTAACCAAACCATGTTCAGACAAAGTGTTTTTTTGACTTTTGGTTCATGCTTGTCTTTTGCCTAATACTACTTCACTTTGGTTATACTTTAGTATGTGACTTGATTATAGTGCTTGACTTGAGTTATAATGCTTAATTTTTGGTTAAAGTGCCTAGCTCTCGGGTGCTTGACTTTTGGCTACAGTTTATTGCCTGGCCAGGCTTTTGGTTATACAGTAACATCCTCCAATTACATGCCCCTCTGTCCGAACAGAGTTCGTAATTGAGAAAATTTATAATTCAGAGAGTTCAAATTTTCATAGCATCTCAGTGTGGTGAGGGTAGGCATGCTACAAAGTACAAGGCTAGGACATGTCAAAGCATTGCCATGGCAACAATATTTTGTCACGAAAAATGACTTGGATTTTACTGTTTTCTGCAACAATATAATACTTTACAGAAGCCAAAATTACCTGTGCTCACTGTGAAGTATTCATTTGTAGTGATTCATAAAAATCGTGAATCCATGCAAATAGTGCCCCCAATGAACAAAAAGTGAACAAGCATGCACAGCTTAAAATGTAATATATCTCAGCTGAAAACAATCGATATTTCTTACTTTAAACCTAGTTTTATGTCACTATATTGGTTTAAATGTGTTTTTTTTTAGCTGATATAACATTTTATATTGTTTTTGAAGACTTATAAATACAATTCTAAATGTTTTTGTAGTTAAAAACGATTGTTCGTAATGACATCATCGTTGCAATTGTTCGTAAAATCGAGAGTTCGTAATTGGGAGATGTTACTGTACAGTAGTGCTTGACTTTGATTTATAGTGTTTGACTTTTGGTTATAATACTTAACCTTTGGTTATAATGCTTGGCTTGATTTATAGTGTTTGACTTTTGGTTATAATACTTAACTTTGGTGATAATGCTTAATTTTAAGTTAAGTGCTTTACTTTTGGTCACTAAATGCATTGTTTTTAAATTTACCATAGTTACCAAACTAACCATAACTCAAAGCTAGATATACTAAGCACTTTCACATGGTTATGAATGACTCTTTGATACAGCACTCACAGCAATAAACACTTGCTCATTCATGAAAACATCTAAATTTGGTTTACTGATAATATCAGAGATTAAAATCAATTGATTATATATTATATGAAAACAATTCTTCTAAAATACAACTAGTGATTCTGTTCTTATTCACATAGAAATGGCATATATTATTGCTAAATTTTTGGAATTCCCTTTTAATAAGTGTGACCTTTACTATGCAAAATATTAATTGATTATTAATTATGTCATTAACTTGTGTTTTGTTGTTTTAAATTTGTTTGCAGAGTTTATTTCCTTACTCTAGGTTCATTTATACTGGTGTTCGTGCATTTTATATCTGAGCTGTTAATCTTCAAAAGTGCAGTATTTTCTGTTGAAATTATATCTCCATTGGCAATATCCGGTGAGCTCATGTTGTGTAGTTGATTATTATTGTTACAGCATAATGTGTCATGATTAAGCCATATAAGTTTGGCTTGAATTACATTGTCAACCTGATACTACAAGTGTGTCATTGTACATTACAAGGAAACATTGTTTGGAACTTTACTTATAAAGCCATGCATATTTATTCAATTTTGCTAATAACAGTATAATTTCAACAAATACACTAGCCCCAGTGGTGTGTGCTGACATTTAAAGTATGCAGAAGCACTGATACACAAAGTTTGAAGTGACAATGATTTAAAATTCTTAACATTAGCAAAAATGATGCAATAACCAAATTTTCCTATCTAAAGATAGAGCTAGTTTGATTAGTCTACACTGTATCAATAAACTATTGTACTTTGCATTTTCTAATCAGATGTCATTGAAAATATAGTTAACCCATTGTCTAAATTTTAATAATTATTGAAAAGAGTTGCACAGTTTCATAAAATTAATTTAGTATCAAAACATTATTATCCTTAAATATATAATTGTATTGCTTGATCATAGATTGTAATTTTCCTCTGATTAGTCACATTTTGCTCTGTTGTCATGGTAATGAGCTGCTGCATTCTATTGAAAACTAATAGTTATTGTTTTTTATCCTGTATAAAAATGTTCATGATTTACTACTTTAACTTTTTAAATCAGGCCTGTATTCAGGGTGTGCAATGGATGTGTGTGCATCCCCTCCCCAAAGTGGAAAAGTTTCACATTTTCATTTTTAAGACAGTCAAATGTACTGAATATGAAATTTGTTATTTTCTGTAATAAATCTTTTAATCTTTACATTTTAACCAACAATGTATCTTTAAGCCAGTACTCGGGCATTGAATTTGCCATGGTGTTGCTGTAATTCAACTGTATCAGGGGATTCTAGTGTAACCGTAGTTAACTTCGCACATCCTGCATCCCCTTTCAAAATTTGATTGACCAGTTTTTATAACAGTTTTAAAACATTCTTAAACCTGGAATTGAATTTTGTTGCATTTGATTGTATTCCCATTTGTAGGAACATCAATTATTTTGATGATAGTTGGAAGATGGTTCCTTGAACCACATAAGGTTAAGAGGCACTAGTAGAAGTAGTATGGAGTGATCGAGATAATGAATTCAGAAAAAAAGGTTCCATCATAAGAAGTGGCATTATAAAATAGTCCGTCATTGAAATATGGAATCTTCCACATTGAGTTGGCATCATGCAGAAGTACCATCCGCATTGATGTGTCATCATAGGGAAGTACCATTTGATTGAGGGTAGGAGATTGCCAGAGAAGATTTGTCATCAATTAGAGCCAGGCTCCAGGGGGAAAAACATTTTTGATATGTTGTAACCACCCTGTTTTCCACCAGTTTTTAAATATTTAAAAATCTGTATCTCATTAACCGTCCCCAAGTTTTTCATCAAATATGCTTTTTGTGTCTTAGACAAATCAGTTGTACAACATATCAACAATTTTTTCCCTGCGGAGCCTGGCTTTAAATAGGGTGAAAATAAACAATATTGAATATAATTTTTGTATAGTGTCCTACACTTGCATCTCAACATTTTGTCCATGCCTGTGACACAGAAGTATATTGACACTGAACTTTATTTCAACATAATACAGTAACAGTATGATTCAGTTTTTTACAGATAATTAGGCAAATAAAATTGTTGTGTTGCATAGTGACAATTAGAAATCAGGGTTAATCAATTGGAAAGTTATTTGTACTGTAAGAGAGGCCTATGCAAAATTCTAGGTTTGGCAAACCATCACTTACCCTTGCATTTTCTATGGTAAATATTAACCTCTCAGCTTAAATTCATGATTAAATTATCAAATGAATTTTAGACTCTTTTCAAACATCATAAAAGTACTGTAAAAAAAAAGATTTTAAAGATTGTATGTCATTGGGAGTTAACCTTGTTGTTTTAAAATCTATATATGGTTAAATCAAACATGTGTTATGTTGATGACTAATGCCTCAGTGGAGAGACCTTGTTAGGATGTCCACAATCAAAACATTCAACAGACTTTTTAGTTAATATTATATAGTTTTAGTAAAGAAAATCTTTACGCAATGGTGGATTCAAGACAGTAGCGGATTCAGGGGATCATCTGGCTTGGGCCCTCCCCCCCTTATTGTTCAAATTTATAATAATAGAAAAAAACAAAATTATATATGCCATAATTATAAATGTCTAGACCTTCCATCTTTAAAATACCTCCCAGGGCCCTTTCTATTTTAAATTCTTTGTTACAGTAACTAAACTAAACCAAATACTTAAATTACAAAAAAAAACAAAAAAAAAAAAACACCTGAAATCTACTTTTTAGTCCTACTGTATGCAAAGCCTGGGTCTCAAGTTGAATGAAGCCACCCCTAGGATATCTGGGTACTGAGTTTTCTTATGTACACATCTAATTTTATTTTGCTGTGTGTGGTGATACTCATTGCAAACTGTCTTCCAGACGCCTATTACTGACATTACGACATTAGTAAAAACATACAGATATCATAAAATTGCTGTTAAATCATTTTAAGGCAAACTACTTCCCTGTAATTTCTGGGGGGGTGCTCAATGTAACAATGTGGTAATGCGGACTTCTCTGCGTTTTGTTAATTTTCTTGGTTTCTTTTGTATTATTATTTATTTACAGTCCAAATATATGATAATTCTATATTTTTTTGCAAAATTACGAAAGTCTATCTTTTAAGTAAAATTCTTTGAAACCGATCTCAAGCCAATTCAGCCCACACAACCAGGTTAACTTGGCCTCAGTTGATCATTATAAATCTTATTACTTCCTTGTAATTTCTGGGGGCCTCAAAGTAACAGTGTAATGATGCTGACTCCTCTGCTTTTAGTTAATTTTCTTCATTTTGTTGTGTCAAGGTTATTTTATGGTTTGGTAAATTTGATAATGTTTTACTGTTATTTCTTTAATCTGTATTTTGGAATTTGAAATTGTAATGAGCACTATTATAAAAATTAATTTTTTTATTGATATTTTTACTGTAATTAGTAAAATCTTATTTACTGCCCGACTATCATATGATAATTCCATGTTTTATGCAAAATTACTAAAGTTCAATCTATCTTCTAACTAAAATACTTTAAACCCCAACCAACATGGCCAGGTTAATTTAGTCTCTGGGCCTCAGTTGATCATTATGAATCTCTATTCTTAACAGTGTTTATTTACAGCTATAAAAGTCATTTCGCTTAACAATTAAACATGTTTGTGGCTTAACGCTTCAGCTATAACTGTCTACATTGTAGACTTTACGCAGTGTTACAATAAATAGAAAAGATGAACATTCCAAGTGAACACACCTTATCTAGTACAGCCAAAGTCATTCTACCTAATAATATCCTTACAAACATTTTAAAAGAAAGATAAAATCTCACATAATAATACCATAATAAACAGTAAAGAATATTATTTTTACACTGAAATAAATTTTAAAATCCCACACCCACATGTGGTTGTTATAATCTACATCCTGTAAACATTGGTTTTGTCAAGTACTGTATTAATAATTCCATGGATATTGGAATGAATGTCATGTATTTTTACCTATCTAGGGTTTTTTTTTGTTTTTTTGTTTTTTTGTTTCTTTTTGGACCTTTTCATCAGCCCTTTTCATTTGATCTGTCAGTCCAAAAGTTTTGAATATGTTTTTTACAGTGTTTGATTATTACTGTAGAGATTCATATTGAGAAGTACTCTAGAGGGCGTAAACACTTTTACATTGAGCAGGGCTCTTATATCTACACCTGTGAACACATGAATTCTGTCATGGTTTTGGGACGATAATAATGAGGAACACCAATGGCAATAGTGTATCTTGGAGGTGCGTGCGGGGCCCCAAAAAAAGCATGTCTTCTCCTTCCATGCACCCCCCACTGAGAATATCCGAAGCCAAACTATCACGTTCAAGTAGTTAAAAATGACCTCATATTAGCTAGATTTTGTGTCCTAGCACCCCTTTGCTTAATCAAGCCCCACCCATTTCAATCCTCCTAGATATGTCACTTGACTTTAATCCTTTTAAAGTTTTTGCCCAAGAAAGGGCTCTGGAAATGACTACATTTATTCAATGAACTGAAGCTTTCTAACAGCCTTATGTAGTGTCACCCTTAACCATAGGGCATGATCTGAATTAATGAATGTAACATTGTAAAAATACAAACATGGTTAAAGAAAAAAATATTAATAATTTATAATTACTCTGAAAACATTTAATATTTTATATAATAACACACAACACACAATGAAAATCTGATTGCACATAAAGTCAGGCCTAAATCGCATAAAATAGTTTAAAAAGTAATGACTACTAAAATTTTGGATTTTCAGATGAATAATACAATTTAAAACGTCAAGGTTATTAATCAGGTAGCGAATAGCACTATTATAGTTCGACCTTTTAGGTCCTCTTCTATACCCCAATAAACTACTTCTTATGCCTCTGCCCCTTTATGCCTCTGCCTTTTGTCGCAGTTTTAATTTTGGGTTTAATGCCCAACAAACTGCGTGCCATTATCACTTTGGATCATCTTCGGTCTTCCCATAATTATAAAGAAATGTCCACAACAGACAGGAATTCCATTGTAGAGCAATCAGTGGCAACTGCTAAATGTACTGCTTGAGTGTTAAAGCATGTAAATGTCACACCATAGTGTTTAGCTGTCTTATTTCGTCCCAGTTTAACAACTGAGATAACTGGTCCAAAATAATCGCAGGCCGTATAGTAGAATGGTTTGTGAAAGGAGCCATTCTTTCTTTTGGAAGGTCAGTCATCAGTTGTGGATCAACATCATGATCAAAATCTTTGCATTTCACACAACGATACTTCACTGTTTTGGCATGACTTGTGGCTCCAATATTGCTTTGGATTTTCGCAGCAGTGTAGCGACACCATAATGCATAATGTCGTTCTTGAACCTGTCTTGTTTTAAGGTAGGATATGTGAGCATTTCTTGGTGATAATAGCGGATGACATTGGTCATAAGATAGATAGGTTACTAGCTCTTCCACCCACATATATCAAAAATATTATACATAGTTGTATTGTATTGTAAACATTGCTTAATCCATAGTGGAATAAAATATTGATTAATTACCAGAAAGTGTTTGGGGTCAAATGCATCAAAGCACAGCTTACATCCTGTATTTACTTGAATACATCCTGTATTCAAGTGGGGATTGGGGAGGTGGTGTGAAATAGAATTCCATATCGAACAAACGATGTGCACTAAGGCTACAAGGCAAAAGGCTAATTTAAGAACCCGTAAGGATTGCCACGTCTCCTGTCCGAACTATGCATATTCATTAGGGCCGTACCCCTAAAGACTACTTGCCTTAGAGCAGGTACCGAAATTCAAGCTGCTATGTGATGCAAATAGCTTTTTCCTTGTCGGTTTGGAAAACATCATTTTTGCATTACACGACAGACACGCAAGCCCACATTACGCAAAATAAAAGTCGTTATCAAACACTCATGTATATGATGATAATATGTCATTTTAATAACGACAAATTGTACAACGTACAGTAGTAAAATAGAGGTAGGTGCAGCTGCTCACAGATGGTCATACAATGTATGTGCTGCCCCTAAAGGCTTATCTAACATGAAGACTTATTGTAAACCAAATAGCATTCACATAATACATATGAATACCTGAATGAAAGAAGGGCCTAACTCCATTACAATAGTTTTTGAGTAAAAATAACAAAAGTTAACAATTTTGTCATTTTTATTTATTATTTGTTTTCATTTTCAGGAGACCTATAATGCATGTACTTGCATTATATGAACTTGTAAAACTATTAAATTTTTATCTCCATGGCAACAATAAAAGCATTTTTGCGAGTCAGAGTTGGGCCCTTCTTCAAATCATATGACGCTAGTGATCCAATAGTCTGCAAATACAACGAATTATAGTGGAATTGGACAAATAGTGATGTTATTTTATTACATAGGGGTTTATTATGGTGTATAAAGATTTTTTCATGGTGAAATCATAAAAAAAGAAACACTGCCCAAGTACGTACAGCATCACAAACAACGTCACAACTTGGAAATCGCTAAATGCTCTAAAACGTCATTCTAATAATACATATTATTATTAGTAATACATATGCTCTAAAACATCATTCTAATAATAATTATTACAACAGAT